TCTGTCTCAGTGTTTGTTTTGTCCCTGATGTGTCGCTGCGTGTTCTCGGTGAGCCTGAGCCTTTGCCGTGTGGACCCTGGAGTCTGTGTGAGATTCCTGCCTCCCTGGTTTCTGCTTGTTGAACAGCATTCAGTGTTCAGGGCTCAGTGTTTGTTCCCGAGTCTGCAGGCTGCTGTTTGCTCTGGAGTCCACAGGACCAAGCCTCAAATCTGCTCATCCCGGGAGAAGCCACTGCTTCTGTTGGGGTGAGGAGGTGACAGCGACTCATCATCATGGAATAAAGTCGAGCAGGAGCTCACCATCTGTGTGACGGGTGCTCGGCTGCTGCGCTCCGTCACACGCTGCTGCGTGTTGGGTGAAGCTTGGTTCCACCTTCGGGCCATCACCTATGGTCCTCTCTGGGAGGGACTGACAGAACAGACCACAGGTGACCGGCAGGACGTCACAATCCACCAGGAGGAGATAACCTGCTCCTGTCGCTGCAAGGCAGCTCCACCTCAGAACAGGAGAATGGGTGGATGCTGGTTAATGTGAGCAGCTTCAGCGTCTGTTGGTGAAGAGACTGAGAGGAGAGCACATCCTCCACTGAGATCTTTCTTTGTCATTTTAAAAAGATCCGCATCAGCTCACAGATTCATCGGCTTCTCCGTCTCGCTCCACCTCGCACCAACTTTCATCACATGCAACCGCCGGCGTTCTCCTAATCTTACTGACGCCGTGCAGTCTTATGATCTGAGGTCTGTTGGAGCTAACTGTAAAGGGTCCTTCACACAACGGCTCCACCAATCAGCACGCTGAAGAAACGGGAACACAAACGTGTCCACGCAGAGTCACACAGCGAGGCGGCTCCTCGCAGGCAGCAGAGGCCTGTGATTGGACGGAGCTGCTTAAAGGCCCGCTCTGCGTCTGTCGTGTTCCAGGTGAAGGTTAGTTGGTTTATGGGAGATGATGTTTCTGATAAACCTCCAAACAGACCAGATCTGTAGGGCGCTGCCTGTGGATGCTGCAGACGGTCCATCTGTGTCTCAGGTTCTGGTGACGTCCTGCTGTGTCCTGCACACATCAGCTCTGCTGCTGCTGCAGATCAACATGGCAGCCGTCCAAGCAGCCAGTCTCACAGCCTGCCCTCAGCTGAAAGAGGATCTGATTGCGGCGGGGGGGACAAATCGAAGGCCATAAAGTGAGAGGGTGGGGGGGTGAATAAATGGAGGGCAGGAGTTAAAGGAGAAGCTGTGCTCAGCATGTTCAGTCTGTGACTGCAAGCAGGAGTCACATCTGTGATGAACAGCTCAGAAATCAGAGTTTCAGTCTGGAGCACCAGCAATGTTTGTGGCTCCTCCTGCATGGAACAAACGCTGTCCTGATTCATGGAAGCCACAACGAGCCACTAAGTGCACTCGCGTCCATCTTTGCAGGGTAAGATGTGCCTGAAACCGCAGAGCTCCAACTGTCCTGAATCTCTGCAGCACGATTGGCTCATTAACCTCCTGATTTGGTTGCCTATTAGCTTGTTAGTTGCAGGGGTGGGACATAGATAACCATTCAGGTGGAGAGAAGCTGATGATTTACTATCGATCTGTGACCCCGCCCTTACCCGAGGCCACAGACGACAGCAGAAACGAGGCGTGGGTTTAACAAATCGATTTTAGTCTGAATAACGGGATATCGATCAATTAAGTCCTGGGTCGATTATTATTGGCAGAAACACCTGAATCTCAGCTTAAAGCTCACAAAACTATTTCAACAACCACCAAACAGCTAAAACAGTAAATGAGAGACGGTACAAACACGTGGACACAGAGTGTGGATCGTTCACCCGACGGCACGGACACGCCGTCGGGCTGAAAGCCCGCAGCTCACAGGTTCTGATGCTGCAGTTTCGTCACTGTGACCAAAACTGACTGAACCAGCAGCACAAGAAGATCAAACTACGCTTCACGTTTGATAAACGTTGTATTTAATTCGCTCTGACTTCCTGCACAGCTCCTGCTATGTTGATTCATGGTTTTTGATCGACTGCAGAATATTTTGCTTCATGTTTTTCTGTTGTGATGCTTACACCTCTGATGGTTATGCACTGATAAATGATCAGAATTATAACATTTCTGGCTGCCCGAGGCAAAAATCGAATGGGGACGTTCTGAATCATAACGGAGTAAGTTGTATAAACCAGAGATGATACTCAGCAGAAACGAGCTTCGTCTGGACGATGGCTCGGCTCTCAGCGAGTGTCCCCGCAGCCGTTTCCTGCTTGGTGTTCATTAAACACACCGTGTGATTGGTTTGGTAGTTTGTTGGTAGGAGTTCTCTAAAAGTTCAGAGCGAGGCGGCTCAGAACGAAGTTCAGCAAAGTCAGGTTTTCTCTGTGTTCGCTGGTTTAATAAGTGCTCAAACCCAGAGACGGATTCACCGCGGTGGTTACCAGCCGGGCTCTTGGCTTCAGGCTCTCGCTGCTGCTGTTGTTTCTGAGGTGATGGAGAGTAATGTCCCGCCCTCAGCGCAGACTTACAGGAAGTACTTCAACATAATCCTGTAAGTTTTGGAAGGATCCTTTGACACTGCGAGCTCAGGCAAAATGAGATATTAGTTTCATGTCTTCAACGATCTGCATCACACCTGTACAGGTCACCTCTATGTTTACAAACTAACGACATCGCAGAGTTTAGTTTCCTGATGTTTTCACCACATCCAATCAGCTCTCCTTCCCTGCAGAGATCCTCAGATCAGCCCATGAACAGCCCTGTTTGTGTCCCCCACAGACACAGACTACATCAGTGAGGAGGAGAAGCACAGGGTGGAGCTGATGTTGGCCTTTCTCACCGAGGAGTCCAAGCAGGCTGCAGCCAGCACAGCTGTAAGTACACCTGCACCTGTCACACCTGTAAGCACACCAATGTAAAAAACATGGACGTGGCGATGTGACCCGTCGCTCACAGACCTGGTTATGGTTCTGCATCCACAGACTTCATGAGAGCCTCACACAGGCTCAGGTACCTGCTGTTACTGATATGTAACAGCAGCCATTAGGGCGGGGCCATATCATACCGTTCAGGGTAATACCAGTGTAATGTTGGGCAACGACAAGAAAGTGAAACATGGCGATAGAATATGGGTAAAATGCACATGCGCAGTGCCTTTGTTTTCATACACACATGGCGGAAAAAGCATGGCGGCGACGGAGAATAAGAAGAGCGAGAGTGGATCGTTGAATGAAACGATGAACCTGAACTGGTTTGTAAAAATGCTGCAGCTTCACTGGTGTGGAACTGGTTTAGCTTTCGACTCTCAGACACACAACAAAGCACTATTTTTGGTAGCGCATGCTAGCGGGCCGTTGTTATTACCGTGTTGTTTGGAAAATACGGCGCACTTAAAATCAATCCATTTTTCTGAAAGTCGACAGAGCCCCTTATAACCCCGTGTGCCTTATGTATGAACTCTGGTTGTGTTACTGACCTCGAAACTATTTTATGTGCACGGCGCTCGAAAATCTGTCAGATGTTTCAGTACGACTTTGCTGAGCTATGAAGCCGCACCGCTCGATGGATTGTCGGAGCATTACGGCTATCGTAGGCGGAGCCTCGCGGAGTGATACGTGCTGTGCTTCAGCATAATGTTACCGTGTTGTGTGTGTTTAACCTCTTTTTAAGTGTTGTGGATGTTATACATGGTTATGCTGAGGATGTGTCGGCCAGTTTCCACTGGAAATGTCTTTTGGTTAAACTGTCAGCGAGGAGTTTGCACTGTTACATGTTTATATAACTTTAATGCAGATAAAAAACAGCTGCTTGTTGAAGTGGAAATACATTGATGTTGTTTTGCACTAATAAAGTTGAGGAGTTGTAAAGTATTTTGTCTCGTGTCAGTTATATCGTCAGTTATATCGTTATCGCAAATCTTCAAACGTATATCGTGATAAATATTTTTGGCCATATCGCCCTGCTCTAGCAGCCCTATTATTGGTCACATGATTCATTAAAAATGCCCCAACACCGCGCACACAGTTCAGTTCAGGTGAAGCTAGCAGACAGCTAGCAGCTACAGGCACCTGGGTCACCATCCACCTGTCAGTCACAGAGGCCACGCCCCTAAAAAAAACTTTAAATATTGAGCTCTAAAAAGGATTTACTTGTTCAGGAAGTGAATTCTGTCCAATGTGGAGCTGCTGACAGCGGCAACACCATGAAGCCGCTTCTTCTTCTTCTGTTGCTATTAAGGTGGAGTTCTGGCAAATGCATGGGCTCGTCCTTTTATAGCGCCAAAGCACTTTCTGCTGCACCACCCACACACCACTCACAGAGCTTCCATCTATGCCTAAGTGCAGTCTAACACACACAGATGGACATTGGGAGGAGCTCGGGGTTCAGTGTCTGTGGTTATTGCTGCTGGTTCTGGGACGTGCACGCTCTGCATGTTTGCATAAAGCAGGCGCAGTAAACTGTTAGAATAGAGACGTTGTGTTTGAGACGTTGGTATTTATTTATAGCTGCTGAGACTCTTTAAACCTGCTGATGCTGATTGTGCGCTCACAGGAAAACGCCGCTGCCTGTGTGAGGACTAAAGTAAACCTGAACACAACAGAAGGACCTCGCTGATCAATATATAATTAGTCTGTAATTAATAAGTGATGAAGCTGACCTGACCATAGCAGATTAAAAAGTTAAAGTTTGGAAAAACGTGATTGTGAGAGAAAGCCATTTCCTGCGAGGTGTCTGTTCGTCCTGCTCGCCGTCTCCGCGGAGAAACCCGATCCTGGACTCTCCCCGTTGTCTCCACCGCAGAGCTCGGCCGGCTGAAGTGGAGGATTTATTATTGATAAAGCAGGAGAAGCGCTGCGTGTAAATCACTTTCCTGCAAAGTCATGCTCAGAGAACCGGAAATGAAATAAGAGCCAAAATATTATTAGAAGCTGGTAATGAAAGCACAGCGTTCAGTCAGCCTTCAAAGACGGAGACACCGAGGACGTGAAAAATGGAAAAGAAAGCAGAGTGTAAGTGCCGCCTGAGGTGGATTTCCACAAACCCACTAATGGCTCTCTGCTCTCATTCAGCTGCGAGTAGGAAATGACTTTTGCTAATGTGAAGTTATGCTGCTTGTTTGGAAAGTGTTCCTCAGTCCAGACACGCCGACAAATGTTAAGTGGTTTCAAGCTGCAGCGTGTTTTTCACACAAAGCCTCGAAGTACACTCGTCTCCCAACAACACACACCTGAGAACGTCAGATCTCTGATTACACACACACACACACACACACACACACACCATTTACAAACCCAGCTCGGTCTGGCAGACGAGGCTAAACACTGTGAATATACAGCTGTGCCCAGATGTTTATATACACTCATCAGCATGAACGTCGGGCTTTAATTGCTCTGTTTCCAGGGTGAATGATTGTACAGCGACTTTAAAAAACAAGCTTGACACTGTTTGTATTTCCCTACGACGCTTTAATAAGTGGTGCTGAAGATGCTGCAGACGAGGTCTGTTATGGGGAGTGATGACTGCTGAAGGGTCCTCTTTACGGCACAAAAAGGATTTGTTTGGCAGCATTCGTCAGACCGACCGAAGTCCAAGGAACTCAGTGAAGATCTAAGAATCAAACCTGTAGGTTACAGGAGCTGGGAACGTGTCTGCAGAGACACGATCATCATTTCAAACAGCTGTACGTGAGTTTATCCAGATCGGGCTCGGGGTGGTAAAGGGAGACTGTGTGAAAACTCTGACGCTCCCGCTTCAACAGCAGAGGGTCTCCGGGCAGACCATCGCCGTCTTCGTTGTGGAGCGAGGCTACAAACCGCTGCTGTGTTTCTATGTGCCGCATCATTTCCTGTTAAACTCACAGGTCACGCTCGAGCCAGACACGAAGAAGTAACCGAAGCATTTTACACCAGATGTTTCTGAGAAATTCGAGATGTAAGCGCTTCACCCAGAAAAACCTTTTCAAGATTTATGTAACCACAACTTTGTATGATCGTTTAAACATTTATCAGGAGAACTACGAGTTCTTCTATTTTTAAAGAGTCTTTGCAGGCGCAGGATGTTTGAAGCATCTTATTCTGGGAACAGTGGGAGCGAGGCAGGTGTGGTCCCAGTTATTCTCTGAGGACCAGACTAGACGCATGAACACGATCACAGAAAAGCTTCGATCGAAAGTTGTTTATGTGATCTGCAAACAGTCCCCACGTCTGTGACGCATCCTCTCGGTTTATCAGCACGAGCACTCTGTGCAGGTACGGCCGCTGGGTCGCCGCCTCCTTCTGTTGGGGCAGGGCTACTTTCCGCTATAAACACGCCCCTTTCACACAGTGGCGCTTTCTTCAAAAACACTGTTTGCTGTCTGATCACAGCTCACCGAGGCCTGTTGTCATTCGCCGTCACACATTCACACTGAGAAGCACCAAAACAGAAAAATCACGTAGCACCCAGGCTTCCTCGTAGACCCCAAACAGGTGTGGAGGTGAGTCTGACTCTGGTCGTTTTTCATTTATTGTGTTGTTTGTGGAAACGCACCGCTCTCTCAGATGGCCCCACCCCTCCCTGAGCCTGGGTCTGTGAGCGCTTTGCTCGTACGCAGTCATCTGATTGTTGGGTCTTTATAATAAAGAGCGCTTTGAGGCGACTGATTTGGCGCTAGATAAATAAAACTGTGTAGAATTGAACGTTGCAGTTTTTCCTGCGCGCTGTGTAATCCTGCAGGAATTTATTACCATCACAGAGCTTATCGAGCAGGATTACCCCGGTGCAGGGAGGGCGGGCACCACCTCTGCAACCTCCTCACAAAGAGTTACGTCTGTGGAATATGGTGCTTATCTCCGTGGCAATGCAGGTGGTTATTAGGTCAAAGGTCAAACCTTCATGGCTGATCGTTTTTCTGTGACTTTCAGTCTGGAGTGTGGAGCCTGTAAAACAGGAAACGAGCGAAGCACCAGTCAGCGGTTTTGCTTTCGGCGCCGACTTCCCGACACTTTGAAGCGTTTGCAGGCTGCTGGCTCTCTGATACTCACACCTAAGATCGTTCTTTTCTTCTCGCGCGTCTTTAATGGCAGTGGAAACTTGTGTCATAATGGATGCTGACTTTCCAGGTCTCAGAAAGCCGCGGTCGCAGAGACGGGCCTGACCCCAGCACAGCCCTGCAGACGCCACTTTCAGCTGCTCGTGTGAGATTAAATCATCAGGCTGTTTGAAAAGCTGTCAGGGCGGTTAGCTGCTGCTGTCCATCGATCGTTAAAGCACGCGCACGCACACACGCACGCACGCACGCACGCACGCACGCACGCACACACACTCTGACTGCTTTCTCTGTGTTTGCTGATGTTCGCCAGGACAGCACACAGGATGTCAGGGCAACCAGCTCCATGGAGATGGGTGTTAAAGCTCCAGTGATTATCCTCTGGATGGTGTGTGTGTGTGTGTGCGTGCGTGTGTGTTAAATCTGCAGTGTTTTACAGCTGAGAGCTGCTCAGGTTTGGACTTGATGTTCTGCCTGGTCGGTTTCGTCGTCACAGCGTGATTGTGGTGTTTGATGTTCGTCTGTGAGAGGTCGTCACCCTGAACTGTGACTCGCACGTAAAAAACACCGAAGAGTAAAAACCAGAGTGGAACGTGTTCAGTTTGAATCTTGACCAGTTTGATCAGGTTGGTCAGGACCAGTTTCCACCTGACTGAGTCACATGATTGTAACCAGTGACGCCCTAAAGAAAGCAAATAACAGTAAAACTAACTTATATTTGACGGTTTGTAGCCTTTGATGGTGTGATGCTAACTATAACGTTATATCGTACGTATACAAACATAAAGGAAACAAGCGAACAGCCGGGCTAACTGAAGCTAAACTGCAGGGAAACCACACTCGTCT